AACAAACATCTCTATCCCTTTGAGATTATAACAACTCTCTTTTAACAAAGTGTAATTGGATGTTTGAAGGTAATGTGTTTTTATGAGCCCTATACATGACTGATAAAATACCATAATCAACCAAATCATAGAATTTCAATAACTTCATCTGATGGAACAGTGTATTTGATGGGTGATAATAATGCTTTCTGATGATAATTCTTACAGCTCTTTTCGTTAAAACAAAAATTGGGTTTGTAATTGTTTTGCATGATTTTCCCCAAACATCAATACAGTAGATTAAGTGTGGAACAATTATTGCATAATATAACTTAAACAGAACTTTATCATTGAATAAATCCTTACTTTATACAATACTGCAATGGATTTGGCTATTTTTGTTCTTAAATCATTTAAATGAGGTCTCCATGTCAGCTTTTCATCAATAATAACACCCAGAAACTTCACTTCACTGACTCAACAGATCTCAATACCATCAATTCTAAATGGAACATCAGTTGTTTTCTTTCTATTATTAAATATCATATAATTTGTCTTATCTAAATTTAATGATAATTTATTAAGCTTAAACCAGGTTTGTATTTTAGCAAATTCTATCTGCATCATTTACAACATCCGATCTATATTTTTACCAAAACAAAATAAAGTAGTGTCATCTGCAAAGATCATTTACATATAACATAAACAACTTTGGTCCAAGTATAGAACCCTGAGGAACCCCACATGTAATACTACTTAATTCAGATCTTGTATCATTTATTTGTACAAACTGTTTCCTATCTTTTAAACAACCAGATACCCACTGTAATGCTGGTCCTCTAATACCATATTTGTTCAATTGTTCAAGTAGAATGGTGTGGTCACTGGTGTCAAAAGCGTTCTTCAAGTCAACATAAATACTAGCACAGTATTGTTTATGATCAACAGCAGTTGTTATTTGCACTACGAAGTCCATGAGTGCCACTGATGTGTAGTCTTTAGCTCTAAACCGATACTGACTGCTACTTGGAATATTTTGTTAATTGATAAATTGATCCAATCTAAGCACAAATAATTTCTCTAAAATCTTTAAAAACTGTGGTAACAAGGATATTGGTCTGTAATTATTGAACATGCATTTCTCACCATTCTTAAAGAGAACCTTGGCTCCTTGGCTATTTTCATATTTTTCTGGATGTAAAATAAATAATACAGAAATACGAATAAGAGTAAAAGTAAGAGAGTTTTACTAACTAATGTGTTGCAGTGAGTAGCTGCCATTTTGAATTCTTCCATTTTCTGACTGGGAATCTTCACTGGGGGTGGGTTGCATTTGTTTGTATTTTGTGAAGG